TATAAGTACAGTTTACTACTTTGTATTAATGTCCAATAGCCCCAGAAAAAATAAAAAAAGCAAAATATTTTTAATTAATTTTTATTACCGACCACAGTAGCAACAGCAGCAGCATCCTCCTGTGCTCCATCTTCCTTATTCTCCTCCTTGTCCTCTACTTCTTTACGTCCATCAGTGGGCATGGTTTGGAGAGGAGTTGCTGGCTGAACGTCCGGGTTATTAGCGGCTCCACCTGTTGCTGCGTTCTCTGGGTTGTCTTCAACATTATTGTTATCGATGTCGGTGTCATTAGAGGCAACAGAAGTCTCATTTTGTACAGTGGTAATGACGTTTACGTGGGGATCACCAGGATAGGCGGGCAGTTGACTGGCCATAGCAGCGGCGTAAGATGGGGGTGGGGGTTGTTTCATCGCACTAGCACAAGCAGCTTCGTAGTCCGGAAGGAGGGAGGAGTAATCGGGTTCAGGCAAACGGTCTCCGCCCTCTCCTGGCAAGATGTAGTGAACGGTGTTGCGAAGAGCCTGTTTACGCAGAGTCAGGAATTTGTAGCAACGCCAGACGATTACAATGCAGTAAGCCTAAAACATTTTTTTTTTTAATATTCACCATGAAACGCCTAACACAAGTGAAACATCAAATAAAGAGGCGTTCTGAATAGGTTTTACCCCCTAAGCACATTAAAATAAGTTTTACACAAAAACAGAAAATATTTAAATAATATTGTCTATAAAGAAATAACTCCTACCTTCCATAACATGGAAATCAGAAAGGCCAAGAGTACCAGAAAAGACAAATACTGGGGACTGAGTTGAAGAAGTTCCTTGCGGAATGGCATATTATGCCAGTGGTCAGCCACCAAACTGTGTACTGATCTCAAGTAGCAGAAATATCCTGTTGCTGTCAAGCTGTAAAATATATAATTTAATTGATTATAAATTAATTATGAGGATAATTGGACAGGACTTACGTAGTAATAGCAAAGTCAAACAGTTGTAAACAAAAGAATGGCAACAAGTGGGTGGCTTTCCCCTTTATGGTACCATAAATTAACAGCAAGGTTATTGCGAGGGTGCACACTGTCATCAGGGCACCCATATCCATGTCAGCTGAAGACAAAAATTAACATTATATTACAATAATTAAAATACCTACAAAAATTATTGTATTTCATTTTAATCACTTAAAATTAATTTGATGATGATTACCAATGTAAATAGATTACTGAACGATAAATCTGATAAGATAAATAAATAATAACATTTAAATAATCAAAGGTATGATATCATGTCACAATTTATTTTTCTAATATTTAATTAAAAGTACCACAAAGACGTTAAATTTCTACCTAGTAAATATCATATTAGTAACATATATATCATATACTTGTTATGAAAACATAACTTACAAAAAATATTGCAAGCCCTACTTTCACAAACAGTATTTTAAATGTTACTTACATGAATGAGGTGTTCGACCATCTTGAGTGGTGGGCAAGTAATAGGGGTTATCACTGTCCTTAACCTTACTCAAAGGGGTTGGAAGTAAATTATTAGGCTCAATTTGATCAGAAGTTTCTTGTTCCATCATTCGTTGCTGATGGTTTCTCATCATCAAAGCAAGAACACTTAATGCCAATACGTGCAAAATCTGATAAAAATTGACCAATTTTATAACAATATTCAAGAATTTAAATAAAGTAATTTTACTTACAAGATGCCATATTCCTAACAGAATCGTTGCAGTCCTTACATGGAGGCAGAAGCAACATCTCCACTCACTATTTCTAAAGGGTCCCATTTTTATTCTCATTGTAAACATCACCACCTGTCACTACAAAAGCAAAAGTACACACACTATAAAATATAAATATTTAATTTTAAAAATACTGTAACAAATAACGTAAATAAACAAATTATGAAAGCAACTGTGAAACTGTAACACGGACGTTAAAGGGCAAGATCACAATTTTAAGTCCGCAATACGATAATACGATTCAAATTTAAAAAAAACACGAATATTTACCTTGATTTATTTTTAAATTATCCTCGATCTGATGTTACAGATGTTTTTGCAATAAAACAATGTAAAATTATTGTAAGGATAATCTTTACTATCTTTAGTGCTAAAAACAACTATAATTACCATAGATAATATAAATACTTTAGTAGGTCACCAAACAACGGTTGGTAAGACTTATCACTGATAGGCGTTAACTCGAAATATGAATAAAGCAAAAAGTTATTTTTTTAATTCAGCACGTAAATTACAAGTAATTTTTTTATTCCATAAACAAATATTTAATTAGTAAAGAAAGTATGTGAAATATAATTACTTAAAAAATAAAAAAACCAACATTAAAGTGGGTGGCAGTGTCCAACGTCCCGTTAAAATGAGTTCAGGTTGAGTAAGATTTGGTCAGGTGGTGGTTTATTTATGGGTAAAAAATTTTTTCAATTTGTTTACCGTAAATGCTTGAATATGGTTAAATATTAATTAATCTCATTAAAAAATTTACCAAGGGTAGATATAACTTATGCTTAAAAACAGAAACATTAAATGTAAATTTGAACAATAATTTAAAAAAATCAGTCAAGAACTTAATAAATTAAAAAAAAATATGCTTACTTCTTGTATTTATTTTAATTGATATTGATTAATAACGTACCCAGAAATGAGAAAGAAAACATTAACCGGCTTTCACTTAAATTGAATTCTACTTTTAAAACTGATGGGAGTATATTTATCCCTTAAAATTAATTAACTACTGAATCAAATTAAATCAATAATAGTTTTATTATAAAATTGATCGAATTAATTATTCATACAAACAACTAAAAACGTACTAGCTGTTCTGAAGGAAAATATTCAAAAATTACAGTAAAATAATAAACATTTAAGTTATATGACAAAACTTGGAGAAATTAGTTACATTTATATATTATCTACATTAACATACAAAGCTCTCT